CACCCATTGCAATTTGTATCATTTTTATTACAATCGCCGTAGCCAGTATCCCCACCTATTAATACCTTACCACTTTCCTATAAATTTTTTTTATAGAATAGGGTGACAATCGAGCACACTCCACCTGATGATAAGTGGTGGCTGTGACCCATGGATATCTACATTTATCCTCAATAAAGAATCAAAATGCAGATGCGCTGTCACCTGTAAGGGCTAAGATGGGACGCCTCGTTCCCAGTATAAAGGGTCTCCGGTTCTCTACACTCACCATACGAAACACAGCAGTGTTAAGCTGCTGTTTTACTCTGGTATTCTGTGAGAACTTCGGCGTGGTCAGAAGCTAAGAGGACATGAAAATATTTTAAAGACTATGTTGTACATCTGGCGATTTTGAGATATTATAGGTGTATTGATCGATTTTGAGTTGTGTAGATGGCTTCTTTTCTATCTATCATTCCCCACTGGGTACTCTCTTACCTATTTCTGTCACCTAATAGCTTTGCTTGCATTGCTTTTTTTTCTGTTTGGGAAGGAAATAGAGAACCAGTACAATTACAGACTGTTGGAGTAAGACATTCTATAGTTCTCAGAGGTTGTTTAGATGATTGCAAGGGTCCATTTGCTGCAGTACTTCAATTACCATCAGGTGAACTGCAAGTTTGTTTGTCACTTTTTTTTAAACATGTTTTAGTCCTTGATGGAATATGAATGATAATAGATAGATAAAACATTTATTTGTTTCTCCAATCACACACGTAAATTCGGTGACTAAACTAAGTACAAAGTAACATATTACGAAGAAAATAATTTACAAAAACTTAAAATCTAAATGTACATGTGTGTTGCAGTTTGACAAATGGAACCTAGCTCAGCGATTAATATTGCTCAGAGAGCAAACACTGATTTTCAGCTATTACCCTCGAGATGACGAGAAGAAAATGAGCACAATACTTAATCAGTGTAAATATGTATATTTGAATGATGTGTCCTTTCTAATAGCTTTTTGAATTCATCTTACCAGTAGATAGCAAAGCCATGTCATTTCGGCGCAAGAGTATCCGTTACAGCCTATTAAAATCGACTGCTAAACATAGGCCTCCCCCATAGATTTTGCCATAATTGTAATATTACTGTTGATTTAATAATTTCACATCGCAGTGGGTCATGTGCTCCTTGTAGATTATCTTCTATACATCCATCCATAAGAGCCTATATGCCCAACGCTGAACATAGGCATCCCCCATAGATTGCCTCGTAGTGGGGTAATTTGCCATAGTTGCCACGCTTGGCAACCGCAGATTTTTATTTTTAGTCGTTATTAGGAAGACTGTGTATTGTTTCCTTTTGTCGCCTCTTACGACACCCACGGAATGATATAGGGTAGTGTATATTCTTAATAGTACATACACCACCACTACACGTAAAATAATCCACCAACTTATTTCGTCCAGTGGGTGCCGTAAGGCATACCGCCTATTAATAAAGGTGTCATATTAAGTAAAATTCTCCCTACAACGGGACAGGCCCATGAATCTGAAGAAGTAGAATTGGCAATGTGGCATTTCACCTCAGAACTGAGCAGTGATAAGGCATGTACATATTATGCATATCTTGATAGTTGGTTTGTGCGAAAAGATATGTGAAGTAGGATTTAAGGACGGCAAGTGTTCATATAAAATGCCTGCTACTTGACCAAATTTTTTATATGTGTTAGAGCCATGCTGCAGCTATATTAATAGTCTAGTTGTAGCACGAATGAGTCGGCTCGATCGGGGAAGGACCGCGCTCTCACAGAATACCAGCGTGAAATAGCAGCTTAATCGGTTCAGTGCGAATGGCACGCCAGGCGTGTTATCGATTTTTTTTGCGCTCAACTCGCTCAAATTGCGTTTTAGGAAAATTTATCCAGAACAAAATATTCATTATTTTGCAAGTAGTTCATGTCTGCAGCTTCGTTTCTGGATATTTTAAAATTTGAAATTTTTAGGGATTGACAACCTTTTTTTAACTTGTACATGGTACTCATTTTACTTTGTGGGTTTTTTAAATCATGTTGTGGAAAAATAGTCTAATAAGTGACAAATAGTAGCACTCATTGCGATCGCTCACAAACTCAAGTTGTACCTAAACAAGTTTCTGGAAAACAAGTCTCCTGTTAAAAAAAAACAATGCGTTTGTCTTATTGTTTAATTTTGCTTAAAATGATTGTACTGCCGTCTTATTACTATCATATGGCCGAATAGACCTATGGAGTACCATGTGTTGTGCTCTGGTGATATGGTATAAGGTTTATTTTTGCTTGAAACAGTTCGAAACCGTTCATGCATAAAAAAGGTTCGCTAATAAATAGTCTTTTGTCAATCCGCCGCCGTACAGCGCCGGTGTCTTTTTCCTTTTGAAAACACTTGTTTTGCTATTCTTACTAATTAGACGGTTTCAGTTGGACTTTACTTTTACATTTGTATAACATTAAATAATATTTAACATTTGTAAATATCAATGAATCATAAACCTTATTTTTTTCTAAAATAAGGTCCTTGTTTGATATTTACAAATGTTATTATTACGAGGGTGGATTGAAAAGTTAAATTGGGTAAAGACTAACACAGATCCATTCAATTCTAAAAATCAAATCTACCCATATTATTTAGTTCAGTTCAGACTAGTTCATTGTGTGAAGTTCGAAACGTGTGCGATAATTAGTTGTGATTTTATAAATTTATTAACAAAGTAATCGGACATAATTTCCGCGAATGGAGCAAATCGAGCAGCGTGCCGTCATTAAGTACCTCCATAAGAAGGGGCTATCATCAAAAGCCATCCATGATGACATGGTCAGTACATTAGGCGATTGTGCTCTGTCATATTCATCCGTCAAAAAATGAATAGCAGAATTTAAGCGTGGTCGAGAGAGTGTGAAAGATGAACCCCGCTCTGGAAGGCCTTCGACGTCAATTACTGACGAAAATATTAAAAAAGTACTTGATTTAATAATGGGAGACCGCAGATTAAAAATTAGAGAGATAGCCGAGATTATAGGCATCTCTTATGAACGAACTCAAAACATCATTGTCAACGAGTTGGGTTTCCACAAGGTGTCTGCGAGGTGGGTTCCGCGACTGCTTTCAGTTGAACAAAAAAGGACGCGATTGACTATTTCACGCGACTGTTTGGAGTTATTTGAAGCCGATGCAGATGATTTTTTGAATCGTTTTGTTACTATGGACGAAACATGGGTTCATTACTGTACACCGGAAACAAAACAACAATCAAAACAGTGGAGAAGACCTGGTTCACCACCCCCTAAAAAGGCTAAGTCGATTTTGTCGGCAAATAAGGTGATAGCTTCAGTATTCTGGGACTCGAAAGGTGTGATTATGATTGATTATCTTGAAAGGGGTCAGAATATAAACTCTGATTACTACTGCACCTTACTACGTCGTTTACGAGAGGAAATAAAAGAAAAACGTCGAGGAATGCTCAGAAGAAAAGTCCTGTTTCATCAAGATAACGCCCGTGTTCACACGTCAGTACAGTCAATGGCTGAAATTCACAACTGTGGCTTTGAACTGTTACCGCATCCGCCGTATTCACCTGATCTGGCACCATCAGACTTCTTTCTGCTCCCTAACCTAAAAAAGCACTTGGGAGGTCAAAGATTTTCGACAAACGACGAGGTCAAAGCAGCTGTAGACGCATATTTTGACTCTAAGGAAGAATCATTTTTTTTCAACGGTCTAAATGCTTGGAACGGGAGGTGGCAAAAGTGTATTGAACTTGATGGTGATTATGTAGAAAAATAAAAATATAACTGATTTAGTATTTGTTTATTTTCTTGGTTAGGCCGAGTACTTTTCAATCCACCCTCGTAGGTGGAAATTTAATTGAATAAAAATCAAGGTTTTCCAGGGTGATTTAGCTGTATCTACATAAATAAATGATTTTCTTATAAAACAAAAAATAGTACAAATGGTTTGTAATCTCTGCATAAAAAAGTCGCTTACTCTCAATTTCCAAGAAATCACGTAGAAAAACACGTAGCTACTCTCTAAAAATAAGTATTCTTCCGTTTGTAACTGATGTTTGATGTCAACTAAACTTAATTAGGTCTAAACAAGTGAAAAAAGCATAAAAAAGAACATTACTTTTATACATGGCTGATCACCTATTGTACCACTTCTGTGACGCTTAACACGCCAGGCGTGTCGCGAAATATTTGTTAGCGGTGAAAAGCGGTGCCGCAAGGGATCGGTTAATGCTGCTGTGTGTCGTATGGTGAGTGTAGAGAACCGGAGACCCTTTTTACTGGAAATGAGGCATTCTATCATAGTCCTCACGGGTGACAACGCATCTGCATTTTAATTCGCAAACGAAGATATATGTAGATGTCTATGGGCCACAGCAACCACTTGAGTGAGAATTATTTTACGACTTAGAACCACGCTGCAGCTATATTATGGTGGTAGCACGAATGGGTCGGCTCGACCGGGCTAGGATCACGCTTTCACAGAATTAAAAAGTCTTGAATTGAGATCGGCAGTCCGCTAGCCAAACACCGTAATTATAGCGAACCCTCCCTAATTAAAAGAGACTAAGCAAAAATAAACTGAACGAATAATTTACAGGTTGAGTCCAAATGATAACAATTTTTACACTACGAGATAAAATATCAACAAAACAGTAAACTTAATGCATGTTTTATATTCGGTATCAACAATTTATCAACTTAGGAATCACTAATAAATGCAAGCGATATTTCTTATAATGGTACACCGCAATCATTCTGCTGTATTACCTAATCAAGGCATAAATAAATTCAGTACATCCGCATTTTAAATAGGTATAGTTTTTATATTTTAACACGCAACGTTTACACAACAAGCGTTATTTCAAATAAATAAGTATCATGTCCGATAGCACTATATATAAATATAAAACTTATACAATTCTGCATAAAACAGATTTTCTTATTTACAATAAATAATAAGCGTAACAATAAATTAGACATTTATTTTTCTAATCTTGAAGAACTCTTGCATAACGTCGTCCGTTACTTTAGCCCTGCGCTCCTGGTACTCTTGTATGATTGGCGTTATCGTCTCGATCGCTATTTTCTTCAATTCCCCTGTTAGCATTTCTCCAGATTCATAAGATTTTTTTATCTGTAACATTTTTATAAATCATTACAATAAAGGATAGTTAACTTTAATACTGACAATATTCTTTACCCAATTTACATAATTATGTAGCATTAATCTAATAATAGAATTAAGTAATCTACGTAAGAATTAATTGTTGTAGTGAGGGTGTAAGAATAACTGCAACCCATAATATCGCCCTGTGGGTGTCGTAAGAGACGACAGAGGGAATCAAATCAGAAGTTGAGGCAAAATCCCCTCCCCCCTACATATGAAGTAATCTATAGAGTAGGCCTATGTTCAGCAGTGGACTTTCATAAGCTGTAATGCATGGAAGGATAAGAATTAATTGAACCCTTTATGAAATATGAAATTCTCAGTTTTATTCAATACATAACATTGGAAGTTAATTCTAGCAAACAGAACTCATCACACCATCACAGATTTGTATAATGGATATTGGTTTCACAGAAAAGGCTCTAAAATTTGGATGAAATTTAGTTTTAAGATAATGATTTAGTTTCCAAGTTTATCTAAATAAGTTTCATCCCTAAGTAAATACTTCTTTTTCTAATGCTGTACAAAAATACCTTAACATAAAACACGCACCATAACCGAGTAGAAGGTTCGTATTTTTAAGATGATTAAGAATGTCGACTAGGATACTTATTTTAATTGGCTTTTTTCATTTCATTAATGTTTATCCTATAATTAAAATGTTTTTTTTTTATATAGAATAGGGGGCAAACGAGCATGCGGCTCACCATCAGGTAAGTGACTACCGCCGCCCATGAACAACCGCAACACCAGGGGAATTGCAGATGCGTTGCCGGCCTTTTAGAAAGGTGTAAGCTCTTTTCTTGAAGGTTCCTAAGTCGTATCGGTTCGGAAAATTCGCTGGTGGTAATTGATTCCACAAAGAAGTTGTGCGAGGGAGAAAGCTTCTTCTAAATCGCACAGTGGTGGACCGCCAATCATCCAGATGGTATGGATGGTAACGCGAGTTTTGTCGCGATGTACGATAGTGAAATTGAGCGGCTGGAATTAGTCCGAACAGTTCCTCAGAGCACTCCCCGTGATAGATGTATATTCCATGTGGGGCCGAACTTTGTGGGGGCGCTTTGTAAAGTTGCAAGCGATGTGCCGGCATGAAATACTGTCTCGCTCTGCTGAGCACGCCAAGCTTTTTAGAGGCCAATTTGGCCTTCCCTTCCAAGTGACCACGAAACTGCACGCTATTCGATATGTCGACGCCAAGGATTCCGATACTGGCTGAGGCAGCAAGGGGAGTGCCTTGAAACTGAGGAGATACGACAAAGGGGTTATTTTTAGCGGTAAACGCGCAAACTTGTGTCTTCTGGGGATTGAACTGGACTATATTTAGTCGGCCCCAATCCGAGACTTTGTTAAGCAAAGACTCGACTTCAGACACAAGTTTGTCCCGGTACTCGGAGACGTTTTCCCGAGAAATATTAGCACGGCCGGTATATAAGGCATCCCCAGTGCTGTCGTCTGCATAGCAATGAATGCTACCAGTTAGCAACATATCATTGATATGCAGGAGAAACAGCGTTGGTGATAGCACGCAGCCTTGTGGAACACCAGCGTTGATAGGTTTGAAATCAGAGCATGCACCGTCTACTACGACCTTGATGCTCCGATCAGCAAGGAAACTGGTGATCCATTTGCACAATTTCTCGGGAAGCCCATAGGAAGGAAGCTTCGAAAGAAGCGCCTTGTGCCAGACCCGATCGAAGGCCTTCGCTATGTCCAAACTAACGGCCAATGCCTCCCCCTTGGACTCTACTGCCTCCGCCCATCTATGAGTTAAGTAAACTAGAAGATCACCTGCTGATCGACCCCGACGAAAACCGTACTGACGGTCACTGATCAGCTGGTGATCCTCAAGGTACCTCATGAGCTGGCAGTTTATAATGGACTCCATTATTTTGGAGAACAAGGAGGTGATGGCGATAGGCCTGTAGTTGGACGGGTCTGAGCGGTCGCCTTTTTTAGGGATCGGGTGGACCAAAGCTGTCTTCCATGAATTCGGGACTACGCCTTGGGAGTAGGAGTACTGGAAAAGACGCGTTAAAACCGGTGCCAACTCCGGAGCACACGTCTTCAGCACAATGGGAGGGACTCCATCGGGCCCACTCGACTTGCTGACGTCCAGGGAGAAGAGTGCTTTGCGAACCGAGCGCTGTGTAAATCGCACATCGCGGGATGGTCGGCGGTGTGTTCCCCCCGTCATCTAGAGTCGAGTTAGACGCAAAAAGAGAGCACAACAGATCGGCTTTCTCTTTTGCGGCATGGGCCAGTGAGTCGTCCTCTATGTGCAGAGATGGAAGGGATGGCTGACAGAAGTTCCCTTGGACAGCCTTGGCGAGAGACCAGAATGCACGAGTTCCCGAAGGAAGGCGAACTAGCTTCTCGCCAATTCTGCCGATGTGCTCAGACCTTGCCTTGGCAATGACGCTTTTGAAGGACCTGGAGGCGGAATTATACTTCTTTTTAAGTGCGCTGGTGTTTAAATCCCGAGACGTTGATGCGTCAGCCCAGACCCGGTAGCACTCCTGCTTATAGCGTGATGCTATTTTACAGGAGCGACCAAACCATGGCTGGGATCTGCCTCCGATGGGCACCACAGAGGATGGAATAAAAAGTTCCATACCCTGAAGTACCACATCAGCAACAGAATCGGCAACAACGCTGGGATCTTCCGGCGAGAAGCAAACCCGCCCCCAAGGGTAGGATGCAAAAAAAGACCGCATCCCGTCCCAATCAGCTGACCTATAGTGCCAAACACGGCGGCAAGCTGCAGATCGCAACTGCGATTGGAGCGTAAGTGGCACCGTGCTCCGGATCAGACAATGGTCCGAAGAGCCCACAGGGGCATCGACGGAGACCTGATATCCGTCCGGATGAGAGGTCAGCAGAAGGTCCAACAGGGAAGGTTCATGGTCTTCCACATCTGGGATCCGCGTAGGCAAACCAGTTGTGTTAGACCATATGCCAAAGCAAAGTCGTAGACAGATCTACCCGCATGATCGGTTAAACGAGAACCAAGCCATTCAGCGTGGTGGGCGTTGAAATCACCGAGTATCACGATCTCTGCGGATGGGACCTGTTGTAGCACGGAGTCTGCAGCCATTTGGACGTGGTCGATGAGTCGGTCTGTGTCGGCATTACCGCTATGGGACCTATAGAGGCACCCGTAGACGCGGGGATGGTCGTTGCTGTCTACGCGCAGCCATAGGATGGACAGGTCTGTACCTTCAAGGCTGCCGAGGCGTCGAAAACAGATGTCCTCTCTGACGTATACACAAACTCCAGCCCGGGGCACAAAGGAGTGTTCCAATTTGTATTCCGGGAAGGAGAGATATGAAGTATCAGCCGGAGAGGACAACTGAGTCTCGGTTAAAAAGAGCAAGGCCGGCTTCGCCGTCTCTAGATGGTAATGGACAGCGTTAAGGTTGGAATGAAGTCCCCTGATGTTGCTAAAATTCACGGATAGCGTGACAGGGGTCGCCTTGGTTGTATTGCTCCGCTTGCCCCGAGCAGCATTAGTCGCGAGCGGAATTTTGCCCCCCCCCCCCCCCCCCCCAGAATACGCGGGACAGCCTCAGCACCCACGCTCAGGAGTGAAGTAGTTTGGTCGTGGATGCTCAGCGAGGGATTCTCCAGGGGTGCTGGTACCCTCCTGGGGTAGTCTCTTATTTAATTCCACTACCATGTTGATGGGGGGGGGGGGGGGAGTTGGGCCTCCGGCCACCTGCACTCACCAAGCGCAACGCAGAGGTAAACCTCTACTTCACGCTGGTATTCTGTGAGGTCGTGGTACCACCCCGGTTCGAGCTGGCCCATCCGTGCGACAGCAAAAGCTACCGCTTGGCTCTACCACTGTTGTGTGCTACAAAAATGTCTAATTTCTTTGGAGTGTTCTTAAATATATTTTTTATTAAAATAATTATTACTATTATCTGAAGAAAATTAATTTGCGGTCACCAACCTACACTTTTATATTTAATGAAAAAAGGGCATTTGAAAGATGCAAAATAATAAAATTTTGTTGCGATTGGATTTTCTCGATGCTTTTTGTTAATTATTGTGACGTTAAATTCTCTTAAATCATTTATCTCAAAAACAAATGACCATCCATATCGACTCCAAGTCAATTTCATACATTCGAAGTGTAATTGCACAATGAATACCTAACCTAAATTTTTATATTTTTATAATTTTATAAAGAAAAAAAGGATACAAGGTAAAGGTATTACAATAGATGTAAAGTTAAGATATAACAAGAATAAAGGAAATAGTAGAATCAAAACATAGTATCACAAAATATAGAATCATGTAATTACAACAAAACAAACTTACCTCAGCTAACTCGTCATCATCCTCAAGGAAGAAAGTCAAATATTTGAAGGATATATCTACATCAGTGTTCCCGCCCTTTTCTCTATGCTCCTCTACCGTTGCTTGACCGCCTGAGAAGGCGTATTTGTTTATCTAGAAATAAATGACAGTTAAATATCATAATAATACAACATGTACCCTGTAAGTGTTTTTTTTTATTTAGTATCATGATCCACAAATAAGTTTACAATAAACAACACATAACTAAAAACATTTTGAAATACAGAAAAGCATTATTGCGAACCCAACAGTAATGGTAACATTCAGTAAAAGTTTGAAAGTGGAGCGAATCGTGCGTGTGCAAGGGTGAGTACGTACGTTGGGTCCGACAAAATTGGGTCCGATAGGAAGCGTCACTGCCGAGATATTAACAAATTTTACATTTACAATGTAAAAAGTTTAGGATGAAACCCATCGTTCCACCTACCGAAAAAAGCCTTTTTCTACGTGGTAGAGCCATGCTGCAGCTATATTATGGTTGTAGCACGAATGGGTCGGCTCGACCGGGGAAGGACCACGCTCTCACAGAAAACCAGCGTAAAATAGCAGCTTAACGCTGCTGTGTTTCGTATGGTGAGTGTAGAGAACCGGAGACCCTTTTTACTGGCAAAGAGGCATTCCATCTTAGTCCTCACGGGTGACAACGCATCTGCATCTTGAGTCTTTATTGAGGATAGATGTAGATGTCTATGGGTCACAGTAACCACTTACCATCAGGTGGACTGTGTGCTCGTTTGTCACCTGATCCTATAAAAAAAAAAAAGCAGAACAACATCAGCCAGGCTAGCTAGTTTGTTTATAAAAATGTTATCCACACATTAGGTTTTTCTCCTGTATTGTGCAGCCATATAAAACCAAAAGCCACTACTAAAATTGCCACTGCGCTACCGAGCCATCAGAAAATATAGACGTAACGACTCTTAACAACTGATATTTTACCAGTGGGTCTCTCTCCAGTACTCTTCACTAACCCCACGAAACACAACGGTATTATATACTGGTAATATACGACAGTATCCTGTGGGAGTGTGTATTTCTCCGGTCCAGACCCACTCGTGCTACAGTGTGGCTCTACCATGTTAAACAGTCAGTATACACCACAAATTGGATCTTCTTTATCTTTTTTTTTTTTTAGAAAACGTTATCTCCACTATAGGATTTTCTTCTGTATCGTGGGGGCAGTTTACATACATAAATTTCACACGGACAAACATCCAGACCCGGACCAATTATTTGTAGGCCATACAAATACTTGTACCGTGCGGGTTCTAACCCGCAGCCCTTAGCGCTGCAACTCATTGCTACGCCACTTTATCAAGCTTCTTTATCTTACATGGGCCTCTTTAGTAGCAGGGGAGGATGCGCCTTAATCACCACGCTTGGCAAGCGGGCGATCACAGTACCAGATGTCTCGCACCGCCGGTCGCCGTTCTGACTATTATCCGTCAGGGGTGAAGGAGGTGGTTAAACTACAATTTTTTTTATAGGATATGATACAGGATAATGGTGACAAACGAGCACACAGTCCACCTGATGGTAAGTGGTTGCTGTAGCCAATAGACATCTACATCTATCCTAGATTACAAATCAAAATGCAGATGCGTCGTCACCCGTGAGGACTAAGATGGAATGCCTCTTTTCCAGTAAAAAGGGTCTCCGGTTCTCTAAACTCACCATACGAAACACAGCAGAGTTAAGCTGCTATTTTACGCTGTTATTCTGTGAGAGCGTGGGTCCTTCCCCGGTCAGGCCGACTCATTCCTGCTACAACTATACCTGTAATATAGCTGCAGCATGGCTCTACCACGTCTAAAATCGAATGCGATAAGACTGTTCCCGAATTTCCTATAGTCGCATCTTACGACACCCACGGGACGAAATGGGTTGACGTATTCTCATACGCCGGCACCACACCGCATTGGGAAATTACCTTGTTTTTAATCTGCTTCGGAGTATCATTGAGGAATATTGAAGCGTTGGGATCACTTGCTGACATTTTGTGTTGTGCGCCCTGCAATGCAGGGAGAAAGGTCGAGTGGATGAGAGCTGGCTTGGGCAGCTTGAGGCGGGCGGCAACGTCGCGGCTCATACGGAAGTACGGGTCCTGGTCAATCGCACATGGAACTAAGCACGGCACCTGAAATTTATAAATGCATTTAATTTCATGCAATATGGGATGTATAGGCGGACTTAATGCTTGAGGCATTGTCTACCTTTGGGTGACGCAGAGATAAAAATATGAAGTACGTGTGTAAAATGTTAAAAAATTGTAATATGAATTAAGGGGCTACTCCATGCGAACGACCTTGAGCATTTGGCCGGCGCGCCGCTCGCTACAATATATTGCGTAAGAAATATGTAAGACGCCACCTATTGTACGAACGTAGTATTATTTTTTCAACATCAATAAACTATTTTATGGAAATACACACAGCGTACAACGATAAACGTATTTTAATTTTTTTTATTCGGTATATTAGTTGCATTATATTAGAATTATGTATTTTCATATATTATCTAATTATGAAACTTTATAATTAATTATATATTAAAAATGAAGCATTGAAAATTGTGAGTTTAAAAGATACCTTTGTGTCATATTCACTATAGGTAAATAAATAGATAGCTCGCTTTTGTACAAATATTTGGTGCAATAAAGAATAAATAAATAAATAGGATGTTTCGCAAATGTGTTTTTGATTATTGTTAATTTTTACGTGTCACGTATTGAAAAGTAATATACCTACCTACTAATTTTTGAACTGAGCACCTTGTAACTTAGCCTGCTTATTACTTACTGCTTACTGCTTATTACTTTACACGTGGTAGAGCCATGCTACAGCTATATTATGGTTGTAGCACGAATGGGTTGGCTCGACCGGGGAAGGACCACGCTCTCACAGAAAACCAGCGTAAAATAGCAGCTTAACGCTGCTGTGTTTCGTATGGTGAGTGTAGAGAACCGGAGACCCTTTTTACTGGCAAAGAGGCATTCCATCTTAGTCCTCACGGGTGACAACGCATCTGCATCTTGAGTCTTTATTGAGGATAGATGTAGATGTCTATAGGTCTCAGTAACCACTTACCATCAGGTGGACTGTGTGCTCGTGTGTCACCCGATCCTATAAAAAAAAAACTTATGCTGGCAGACATTATCCTCACCCCAACGATTGATGAGGATGAAAATCAATTTTATGTCTACATACGTAATTATATTTATTTATACATAAGGGTAACTTTAATAAAGGTAATACAAAAATCAACAAGAAGTATAAGGGTTCCAATCACAGAAATCGTAATAATAAGACACTAGAAGTCGCATCGACGCGTGACCTTGTCGCCGCTATGATGTGTTGACGGACATCATTTACACATTTTGTGATTTAGTTGCGCGGAACGTTGGACGTGAATTTATGTTATTATAATGGTGAACTGCAGCATAAACGGTTGTAAAAACTCATCAAGGGCGTGTAATTCAACTAATAAAGGCATAACCTTTCATCGGAAAGTTGATTATTTACTAATTATCATTGTTATAATTAATTTACATCTAGATGAATACTTTACTATGATATTTACATTTGTAAACTTTCGTTTATAGTTTTCGTATTGTACATTACCATTGCTGCTTTTGTTCTATCGTAATACGCAACGTACGCGACGTTGACAAAATCGCCAAGCAATGTAATGTGAACATTAGATATCATTGTGAATTGCGTATGCTTATAATACGGCTGCAGGCATCGGTCGCACGTTAGTGGTGTAACCGTGTCATTCATTTGAATGAAAGCACGGGTTATATCGATGTTTGTATAAAGGGATATTTTTAGATTCTCGAACGTAAAAACTAAACAACATTTGAACGTAAAATATTCTTAATAATAATTATACAGTAATTTCATTAATTAAATAATTTGTTAAAATTTAATTATTTGTTTAAGTTTGCGTCTATAAATGTTTAGCATGCTGATAAATGTACAGAAAATGTTGTTTTTTTAGGAAGTATAAATAATTATATTTACTAGAACATAATTATCAATTATTTCTAGATTCCCGAAAGATCCTGATATTAAAGAAAAATGGATAAATCTTACTGGTAGACAGGACTGGTTACAGAAAATAGTCGAATTTGTAATTTTGTGTGTATTAATATCACTCTAACTTAATTATTTCATAAGTGTACCTACGCTATAACCTCGATTAATTATGTATTCTGACTGTTAATAGATAGCTCGATTTTAAATAGTAAGTATCATTACTGTTAAATATTAAGAAATTGGTATATATCTATGGTTTTCTTTGCTACTTGTAATCCAATTTAATATATAAAAACAATATCGACACCTTCAAAAATTTTTGTCAATCCCTAGCATTGTTTACAGGGACACTCACACATCGAAAGTGCTTGCAGTGGTGTAACATTATGTATTGGAGTAAAATGCAGTGTAATTACTAAAAATTAAGGTTCATAATAGATAGTGCCCTATACACTTCATCGGTGTATTGCAAGTGTGTGCGAGTGTTATATCTATTTGTTTGCTTAATGCGTATGTGTTAAGATGTGGCGACATCGGTTTTGGAAGTAATCGGGCGCTAATTCATTTCTAGTGTCTTATTATTACGATTTCTGTGGTTCCATCTTTCAATTTGAATTGTAAAAAAACGTTACCCCCACACTAGGATTTTTTCCTGTGTCGTGGAGGCAGTTTACAAACATAAATTGCACAAGGACAAATATCCAGACCCGGAACAATTATTTGTAGGCCATACAAATACTTGTTCCGTGCGGGATTCGAACCCGCGGCCCCCAGCGCAACAACTGATTGCTAAGCCACTGCGCCACGGAGCTGTCGCCGGGATATAGCTAAAGTAACCATACGTCCCGTTTAGAACGGGACTGTCCCTTTTCTCGGTCACCTGTCCCATTGTCCCCAAACAAAGCTCCGGGACACAAAATTGTCCCGTAACTCGTTGGATGGAAGTATTCAAAGTCAACAATCTTCAACACATAATTTTTTTTAATCGAATATAGTTTATGTCTACCTGGTACAAATGCTCCAGTAGAAGAAAGAGTATTTTTTTATTTTGAATAAATTGTGGACGTCTGAAAGAAACACTTACGGTTCCAGTTCTAAAGGCGATGTTGTTAACAAAGGTAACAATAAAAAAACTTGAGCAGAATTTTATTCTTATTTAAAATCATCACCAACTTTATTAAAGCAAATTTAATCCACTGACAAATGTAATTAATAATTAAAAAAAATATGTTGCATTTAATAATTACCGTCTATACCGAATATAATTTTATAGTGGACACTAATTGTATAAAGTTATAGTTTTTAGAGTATAAATAAACCCATGTTCTGTTTTGAGTTAAAAAATAAATGGTCAGTTTAGTTTTTTTATAGTTAAATTTAGTTTTAAAAATTTTTAGTTTATAGTAAAAAGTAGGTATATTAATACCTACTTAGATACTTTTTACCGAATTAGGGTGGAAACCCCTAATACCAGTCATGCCCCTAATTCCAGTCTTTTCGCCTTTTTACTCCATAAATAAGATTTCTAGTAGTCTTAACTGCAAATATTGTCATCTAAAAAATTCTTTGTAGTTATGATCAATTCGTCTGTTTTAAAATTGGTTTTAGATTTTAAAGTTTAGCAAAAGATGTACTAGGTTTTCTCTCTGACATTCGGCGTATAGAACACCTTATGTACTCAATTATTTTTTAAAAAAGATAATAAAAACAAGCAATAAATAATATACTATATTTTAGCAAAACACTATAACTTGGTAATACTAATTATAACTTAGAACATAAAATTCATAACTGACTTTTTGGCCCGACCCGGGGATTCGAACCCGGAACCTCATGATCAGCAGTCGCACAACACCAACACTATACAACCACTAGACCAACGAGGCAGTACTATACCTAATAAGATATTGTGGTTGGGTATTAGGATTATTTTTAACTGTATACTATACTGATAATATTGAATTAGCCTTTTATAGTGTAAATTATAATATTTGTCGAAATTTTAATTATGGATTCGAACCTTACATGCTAATGGTGCTTCATTTTTTTATTTGCATTTACTTCAAAGAAAATTCACGCAAAAAGCTTCATCGCACAGTAAAAAACACAACAAATATATGTATAACTAATACGAAAAATTATATCCAAAACAAACAAATAATACTACCTATAAGTAACCTAATAAGTAATAATATTATCGACTGATAAGATGACATGAGCGTGTGCGCTGGCCGACGCTCTAACGATACGGGTTCCACGTCCAAGAGCTCAGGGCTCACTGACTCCAGCAAGCCCGTGGGAAGTGAATACGCCCAGATTTTAAAATAATTTCTTATTAAAATCAAATTTTGGTCTTTTGAAAAAAAAATTATAATAGAAATATTCATTAATAAATTGCCTATCCATTGGTGTAAATCGCAAAATAAAATAATACTTACTTTACGAGGAGATGCATGTTATCAATAATAATTTCACATTTATGTGGTTTCGTTGTAAGGAGATTATATTAATATTTATTCCTTTAAAAAAAATTGGATATAGCTTTTATGAAATCAAGATTATTTACAAATATAATGTGTTTTTTACTTGTTGATATATCTTTTAAATAAAAAGTAGATAGCTCCTAAAAACCGCACAAATAACGACTAGCGCGACATTTTGCTCAACCTGCATCTTAAAGTGAATTTTACATGGTAGAGCCATGCTGCAGCTATGTTAATAGAATAATTGTAGTACGATTTAGTCGGCTAGACCGGGGAAGGACCACGCTCTCACAGAATACCAGCGTAAAATAGCACTGCTGTGTTTCATATGGTGAGTGTAGAGAACTGGAAACCTTTTTTACTGCAAAAGGGGCATTCGATCTTAGTCCTCACGGGTGACAACGCATTCTGCATTTTAATTCGCAAACGAAGATAGATTTAGATTCTATGGACCATAGCAACCTCTTACCATCAGGTGGACTGTGTGCTCGCTTGACACCCTTTTATATATAAAAAAAACCGGCCAAGTGCGAGTCGGACTCACGCACCGAGGGTTCCGAACAAATCCATAGGTATATAAGTTTAAAATGTGTTAATGTGTTAAATTTAATTCCCGGCCGACGCCGGACAAACTAGAGCACACACAAAGGATTCGTACCATTTTGTTAGTGAGATAAAAGACCTACATCTCGCTGACAATGAAACTATGGTCAGTTTTGATGTTCAGTCACTATTTACATGATTACCTATTGACGACTGCATCTCAATTGTAACCAGGAAGCTAGAAGAATACAACATGCGTACAGAATATGTAGTATTACTCAAACACTGCCTTACATCTGGCTATCTATTGTGGAAGGAGGAGTTTTACAAGCAAGTAGATGGAGTGGCGATGGGCTCACCTGTATCTCCCATAGTCGCCGACATATTCATGGAGGACTTTGAGGAGAAAGCCCTTCTTACTGCTCCTATAAATCCAAGATTCTACAAGCGGTACGTAGACGACACTTTCACAATTTTACCATCTGACAAAGTAACTGCATTTTCAGACCACCTTAATTCCATAAGCTCTAAAATACAATTCACAATGGAGTTAGAGGTAAACAATTCTTTAGCTTTCCTAGATGTTTTAGTCATCCGAAATCCTGATAATACCATTGGTCACACTGTGTATAGGAAAGAGATCCATACCAACCGATATTTAAATGGTGAATCGCACCATCATCCATCACAGTTAGCTACAGTGGGAAAATCTTTATTTTAGAGAGCACGAGGGATCTGTGACAGAAAACATCTGGCCGCAGAGCTTCAGCACGTCGAGCAAGTATTGCAAGACAACAAGCTTCGGGTCCCGCGCCTACGTCACAGTGACCGAGTGAAGCCGACCACAGTCGAGCGTGTGCCTGCTGTACTACCCTATGTCAGAGGAGTCACAGACAAGGTTGGCTACATTTTGAAGCGAGCTTCTATTAATACATACTTCAAGCCGCTGAAGAAGATTAGTCAATTTTTACCATCCGTCAAGTGTAATATCCCTCTACAAGATGCAGGAGTGTACAAGCTTGGTTGTGAATGTGGTCTCTCTTACATAGGACAAACAAAAAGATCCATTAAAACCCGCGTGAAAGAACATATAGCTGACGTGAAGCACCGACGCTCTGGGAAGTCTGCAGTCTGTGAACATGTTCAAGATCGCCCCCGCCATTACATCAGATTTGATAGACCACAAATCCTCGCAAAAGAACACCGATTCCTACCAAAGATGATACGCGAGGCTATTGAAATTAAAAAATATCCTAATTTCAATAGAGGAGATGGATGGGTGCTGCCATCTGCTTGGGATCCTATAATAAACAAAACTAAATCCAAACCCAAGCATACCACTGCAAGACTTCAAGATATTGTAAGTTCATTCTACTTAAATCGAACCAAAAATTAATATTAAAAAACTGAAGGTAGCCGGGCTAACTGTGACATCGGGACGTCAAACATCTCAGTCCCCCCCCCCCCCCCCGTGATCATGGGTTGCTGTAAAGCACCCGAAACGTCGGGAATCAAAATAGTAAAATTAAACGCCATAAAATCCGTAAAAAATAGTTTTATTCAATGTGTAGTGTTCGCGTAAATATAAGAAATCATTAAAGTAGGCTACAGATTCGTTGTCACCTTTGAGAACAAAGATGGAATGCCTCGCAGACTGTTACTATACTGGCTCTCTATAACTTTCAGTCCGGAAAACAGTGGTGCAAGCATTGCTAGTTGACGGCAGAAAATGGTAAAAGAATTAATTATACTTACAGAAGTAGCACTTTGCAGCTATATTAGTAGTATAGTTGTAGTACGAATGGGTCAGCTCGACTGGGGAAGGACCACTGTGTTGTTAGCCGTGAGGACTAAGATGGAATGTCTCGTTTCCAGTAAGAAGGGTCTCCGGTTCTCTACACTCGCCATACGGAACACAGCAGTATTAAGCTGGTATTCTAATATAGAGCGTGGTCCTTCCCCGGTCGAGCCGACCCATTTGTGCTACAACTATACTATTAATATAACTGCAGCATGACTCTACCACATTGTGACTTCAGTATTGTAAAAGGTTAATTTTTTTAATAAATTAGCTTTAAACATTATGAGTCATCTTCTGATAGCTTAGTGTTTCATATTCTGTGTAGAATTGTAATATCAGAAATTGGTACAATTGTTGCTTTGTCTGACATATGTTTGTCTCCACTGGTATATGGTTAGAACCTATTTTTGTTCAGAAGAGTTTTCATTATCATCATGATCATCATTACAACTCTTCACAAATCCAATGCTGAACATAGGCCTCTCCCAAGAAATGCCACAAAACACAGTGCCGAACCACTTGTGTAGTCGAGGGTCGCCCTACACTTCGCTTACTGACACCAGGCTTCCACTTGATAGCCAGAATGGGGTGGTAGCAAAAAAAAAAATAGAGAAGTGCTTAAAAAAAACAAATAGAGCACTCGCAGAACAGTATTACAATTAAAACAAATATTCATTACTTACAACTTTATCACCAAATATAAAGGGGAAGGTAGTTGAGAAGGCAGGTGCCGCTTCTATCGACGGGAATGTAATTTTACCGATGACGTCAGAATCTCCAAATCCGAATATACCCTTGACTTGATTGAAAGTCACGCATTTTTGTATCCGAACCATGTTTTGGTAAAAGGCTGGACACTGTCTGAATGAAAAAAGGAAACTTGGTATAAATCTTATCCTATCTTAACATTTTCTTGCCCTAAAACCCTCTCAGGAATGAGAAGAAGCCTGTGGCCAGTAGTGGAACATATATAGGCAGTAACTTTCATTTACTGTGGCAAGTATGAACTTATAGCATAAGTAGTACGAGACACGGTACTAAGATCGGCAGCCACTATAGTCACAAGCGTGGCGATTATAGCAAGTTATTCTTATGTTATAGACGACAATACAGTTTTCTAATTAATATCGATATATAAAGGCATTATTGTGCTATGTAATCGTAAGAAACTCATTTTGTCCCATAGATTTTGTTATAGTTGACTTAGAAAAAGGAAGTACCTAAAACAAAACTTGTAGTACCTACCATTACTGTTAAAGTCTATTAAAGTCCACTGTTGAACATAGGCGTCCCCCATATATTGCCTCATATGGGTGATAGCTGCCATAGTTGCCATACTTGGCAAGCGGGTTTGCAACCGTAGCTTTTTATTTTTAATCATTATTAGGAAGACCCTGCTGCCCATCTCCTGATTTGTTTCCCTCTTACGTAACACCCACGGCACAGCCTATGTAGAACACACAGTCAGTCATCGCGTTAGATTTTATCGGAAAAGCCGACATAAACAATAAATTGTTAGGGTTGTCAGAACGGGAAGTAAAAAAAAAACTGATTTTATTTTATTTCACGTTTTAACAAATTAATATGTATGTGGAAAATGATGAGACTAGTTTTTAATTATTAGTTTTTTACCGCACATGTAGTGTGAACCATTTTAATTTATTTGCGTGGCATAACAACCCTAGCGGACAGTGCTCAGGCCGCGTGTCGCCCCGCACCGCACCGCACGCTTGCCCCCGTCTAGACGCCTTCGATGACTGACTGCTAGTAGTAGTTAGACTGTGCCCACTGAACGATATAGGATAGTGGATATTCTTACACCGCCCCTACACGGTAAGAAATAATTAACAATATATTATAAATAATAAAATTATTCTATAAAACTGAAGTGACAAACAAACTAACAACCCACTTGAAGCTAAGTGACTACTGCAATTTATGAACAGTGCAGTCACCTACAATAAAATATGGGTACCGAAGCATTGTCACCTTTGAGGACTAAGATGGATTGCCTCATAGCCTTTAATTATGCTCTCTTATAACCTTTCACACCGAAACACAACATTGCAAGGCAATAAAAGTCTTGTCACCTAGAAACGGGGACTAGTATAATAATGGCAACATTGCAATGGGCCAGCCAATATAGCTTGAATGACCAACAATCAATAGGGATGAAACATCCTCCAGTGGCAGTCTCGTACTGGCAAGCACGGTGTTCAGTGACCCTCACTACATGACGTGACAATCTGGTAAAACATGCAGGGAGTCGATGAATGTAGGTGGCGCTGGACTGTGTATTAGAGTGATCTGTGGGGAAGGCCTTTGTTCAACAACGGACTTGTGATGAGCAGTAATAGTTATAAAGATAATGAATAACATGGTTTGAAACACTCACCCAATAAAATCTAAATCGTTAAATATGAAAGTGTTGCCAGGATCAAAGCCGACCGCTATAATGTCTTTAGCATTACTGTGCGCCATCTTGCGAGCTTCCTCGACCTTGATATCACGCCACATGGCCTTCTCATCGTCAGTCAGCTGAATAATAAGTGGTACATTAAATACATCTTGTAACCATCTGAAAAACAGGATTCTTATTTTAGGTATGGTTTCTTTTTTAATATCGGTATATTAAAATTGCCAGTATAATATGTTGTAAACATTGAAATTTTTAATCTGTTAAGTAAATAACGATTAGAGCCATAAATAAGAGAAATTCCACCTGGAAGAGCAAATAAATTTTCTAATTTTACTATTGTGTGATTTCTTTCAATACCTACAATGAATTTAATTACATATTCTTTACAATTATCAATCATTAACCAAATCTACTATTTCTGTGTGGATCTTTTGTATTTTGGTATGGTTCATATTTTTATATATGAGTATATGGTTTTTGATTTAAACGAGTGATGAAACGATTATGAAACAATATGTCGTAGACGGTTCGGTAATCCTTGGCCCCGCACCGTCAAGGATTACCGAACCGTTTACGACATACTTCTAACGAATTGCCTTATATTTGAGTTTTACGCAAACATAAGGCAGACGAAACATGGAGGTGTAACTATCCCATTTACACTAGACGTAAATTAGCTAGACAGCAACAGAGAGCTTCATTCAGATGCGAGAGGGTGCCTTTGTGGCGACAATTTAAAATCCTTCCTCCAACAAATAGGAAGTCTGGCGGGCTTTTTATATGCTGATAAAGAAAATAACAAGAATATTTTCTTCACATAAACATAACAAAACACCGGGGGGAGGCAGAGAATTCAGACTTTCAGATCTGAATTCTCTCGTTACTCGTTTCACAGTACGCGGAAAATGTGGAATCGATCCCCACTGGCTACAATAAATTGTTACTTGTAATTTCAGGTGCTGATTTTGTTGTCGATTGTGATAAATATTTAGCATTATGTTCAGAAATGTACTCATGTATTCCTAGTATAATAGCAAGTAAAAAGTTAGTGTTTAAGTAAATAAAATAGAATTATAATATGTCCGAAGATAGAGAGGAAAATGAGAGGAAATAAAAGAATTGGGAGAAGTTTGTACAGTATATGTAAAGTTCATTCAGATGCCTCACAGGAAAATTCCGTCACAGTCATTCTACGGCTGAGATCTATAGACTGTACTTTGATTTGCTCAGACTTTACTTCCGAGCTAAGACAATGTCGGTATTTATAGAGCTAATTTCAAAGTCGTGCTGAGTACGCGCTTAGCAAAGCCTAAGTCAACGATATCGACGACTTACGTAAAACTCAGGATATTATTCAAAACCACCGTATTAATTTTAAATTGTTGTTTTAATGTTACTCTAATTAATTATAACAATAAACATGTAGTTTTAGGACGTCTTCTAGCTTTAAATAGCATAATTCCATTTTATATTTACGTAATTTCAATCTTATTTGGAATTTCTTAAAATCTTATTTTTTTTTTTTTTTTTTTTTGATGTTGCACTCATCTCACCCATTCCCGTTCTCATACGCCCGTTTATATTTCATGTAATAATAACTTATTTATGAAATACAATTTGGACTATTTTCGATTTTATATATATATGTTTTTTTTTAAATTTTATATGGTTATTTTGATTTTAAATATATATATTTTTTAATTTTATACAGTAAAGTCAAAAACATATAATGCGTGGAATGAAGCATCCATTAATATTAGGACTGTCTGGGCCTTAGCATAAGCTTAGCTTAATCTTAGCCCGATACAACTATAAATTCGGAATCAAAGATTGTGCTGAGCATATACTCAGCTAAGGTTTTGGTAAGCTAAGTCTGAGCAAAGTCAAAGTACGATCTATAGATCTCAGCCTTCAAGTCGTAATCAGAATCAATTTGTCTGTTGTGGTAATTATTTTAGTACAAGCAAAGGTGACTGACCATATAGTGGCAGTGTAAGAATATTCATCATCCAATATCGTCGTCGTTGTCGTAAGAGGCGATAAAGAGAGGCCTATGGTCAGCAGTAGACTTTTGATAGGCTGTAAGTCTAGCAGAGAGGCTGCCCTGTGTCATATCAAGTTAAGTAGTATTGTTGTTGGTTTGTATACTTAATCAATTTTAGTATTATCATTTATCATGTAATTATGTCAATCATATTACACTAACATGTGATCATGACCGGGACATATTACGGTATGGTCAATCCTTAACTGCTATATGCTGAATGTATAGTGCAGTACGCTGTTTTATCACCGATAATGATAAGTAAGTGAGCAAGTTAAACATCTGCTCTCCATTACAGCCTATTAAAGTCCACTGCGGAATATAGGAATTTTTATTTTTAGTAGTTATTAGGAAGTTTCTGCTGCCTATCTCGTGGTTTGTTTCCCTCTGTTGCGTTTTACAACACCCACGGGATAATATGGGGTAGTGGATATTTTTACACCACCATTGCACACTATTATTATTTTTAACAATAGCCTCTTAATGTATTTCTGACATAAACACACTTACTTTGTAAACATGAATGGAATCATATGACCAATATGCATGCTCTCTGAGGAGGGCCCACGGCCAGTGTATAAATAAAACTTTTTTCCTGCTTCATGTAGTGACAAAATGCTGTGCAAGTCTCTGTGAGAGAAGAATATCCCTCGTCTTAGAAAGCGGTGTGCTGTGGATAAAAGGTTTTCATCATTAAGATTATAAAAGTGGTAGAGCTAAAGCTAGAACTACAATAGCAGTGCAAAGCTCGCTTTTTACTATGGGATATAATATATATTATATCCCGAAATATAAATTATATCCCACTATTGGCTTTCACACTGTGAGATATATCTTTTAACCAGTGTGCATTCGTTATTGGATTACCCCTGTACCCCGCACACCGTTCTGCAGCGGTGCGAAACGGTGTGCGGGGTACAGGGGGCGAAATATAATATGAAAATATTGCTTGGTCGATCGAAAAAATATTTATAGTTTGAGATGTAATATATATTATAGCTCAGTGTAAACGATTCCATTTAAAAGTATGGTGAGCGATATTAATTTGTATCTCGAGATGTAATATATATTATATTATATCCCATAGTGAAAGCGGGCTTAAGTGTTAACACTGGCCACTGCCATGTTGAATTTACTAGGTGATAGGGCTCCTTTTCTGTCCCTCTTTTTGCCACCAAATAACAGTGTGCACTGCTGTTTCAATCTGACTGGTAAACAGTGTCAGTATAATTACTGGTTGTGAGAGATCCCATCTTAGTTCTCAGAGGCGATTCAAATATATAAAAAAAACGCAAAGAATATTATAGTATGTTTCTAGAGAAGGCGGAAAAACGTACATTAGCCTTTGACAATATCATCGGGGTAGCCAACCTTTTTCTTAGGTTTTATCTTTTTATCCTTGTATCATTACATACATCATCAGAGTGAAAAATAAGAGTGCCGAGTGTGAAGTTCTTCGCAGGTCCTGTGTCTATTATTTTATTATGAAGAAAGAAGATTATCCTGTACTTATGTGAATTAAAAAGCAAATTAACATTAATTTAAATGTATTATTTATAAACCATAAGAGTTAACACATATTTAATTCTTACGTTAACAGTAGTGTAATAAGTAGGTATGTAGGTAGTTGTACAAACATGACCACTTCTTGGCAGTCTGGTAAAATGGTGAACTTTTAATGCATTCTTTAGCTGTCAACCTTGAAGCATGCATAAAACTTCTCATAATAGATTGTCAGAGATACTTGACAGACTATGTTTTTGTAACTATTTCAGAATCATTTTCTGATGATAAAGATGTGGAAAAGTTTGCCACATTAATTTATAAAACTATCTACAGTTTTATCAATGGCATTATCCAACTCATTTAATTTGTTTTCTTCTTTTATGACGTGTTTAATGCAGTTTTTACACTTTGTATGTTCAATATTGTATATAGCCCTTCTTCATATAGTTTTTTGACGTCTACCATTTTAAAAGTGGTATTGTTTCGGTTTAGGTTTGTTATCTCTGAGTGACCGCTTCCTTCACCCCACCTCGTACCATGAGATACGCTTAGCGCATAACAATACGTAATCAATAATGAAATGTATGGAAGCAATACCTGTCCTTTGTTTTGGTGCTAACATAATATTTAGGTCAATGTACGTTTTTCTGCCTGCCCTAGAAACATACTACACTTACCTTTTTTTCCTGTAACTCTTTCAAATTTATCTATTAGTTCTTGATCAATTTTTTGGCTTCCAAATCGTTCTGAAAGAAACAATATTTGGTAATTAAAATAATGTTAATTAATTAGTTTACTAATTATAATTTAAAATTAAAAATTTTGTACAGCCGACTTTAATATAAGCGACTTCAATATAGGTTATTTAAGAATAACTCAATAACCATTAGTCTGACCTTGATCAAATTCATATGGGAACACACAAGAACTATCAGCTTTCATATAAAAATAGAATCATCAAAATCGGTTCGCCCAGTACAAAGTTATGAGGTAACACAGATAAAAAAAAACATACAGTCGAATTGAGTACCGTCTCCTTTTTGGAAGTCGGCAGATAAGTATATTATAAAAACAATTTTTGTTTAATAGAACACTGGTAACAAACAAGCATGGTCACAGTGACGGTAAGTAAGTGCTGTGGCCTATAGACACCTACATATTGTATCCTTGCTTAAGAATCAAAAAGCAGATGCTTTGTCACCTCTGAGGTTTTAGATGAAATTCCTTGTGAGATGATGTATGTACCTCCTCTACAACACATTTTTCCTGCAGTCATAACATAGCTGCATCTGGGCTCTACCATGTTAATAGGCCACAAAGTCTAAGTTTTATTACTAATGGAGACAAAAAGGAATGGAATTAATACCAGTTATAATGCTTCACAACTACTTAACAAGATAGTGCCATGGTGCATCTAGTCAGTTTTTAAATGAGTCAGCATGGCCAAGGAATACCCACTCTCAAAGAATTCCATAAAATTAAACAATATGGATATTAAGTCTTCTGCTAAGACAGGTTGATTAACCAATTTTTATTATTATTTATTTATTATTATTATTTCTTCTTTATTGTACACACTAAGTTGGTAACAATTATTAAATATTCAAATAAAATGTACAAAGGCGAGCTTAACCTTAATAAGAGAGTTCTCTTCCAGCAAACCTATTGGGAAAGCGAAATAGTTTTACATATAAAGCAAGTAGGTAGCAGCGTGCGTACTTAATATTTAACTTAACACTACTTAAACACATTACATAGGTAACCATTTTTATAAAAAACTAGCCACATTCTTATTCCCTGCTCTAATTAAGCTTCATATGCTTGTACTAGGTGAAGCTGATAATAGAAGTCAATTGACAAATTTGAACCTGTTGTAGGTTTTAATTTCAGTCTGTCGTCCATTCCATACCCTCAGCCATTAGGCTATTGGCACTTACACAACTGCTGTACATACTATTGTTACATTATTTAATATATTAAAGAATATTTACACAAAATAAATCTTAAACAGAGTAATAATTATTGTTAACTTACTAATTAATTTATCATAATCAAGCCCAGATTCAGATTTAGTAGACACATTCCATGGGTCTACTACATCATCTTCATCATTGTGAATTGACATTTTGTTTAGCTGTTCTTCTGCCATTTCTCTAAAAAAGGCATGTAATGAGAAAAATAAGTAATATTTAATATTTAACCAACCAAAGAAATTGTTGTGCAAATAGGTATATAAAAAAGCTACCAACTATTTTATGATTACACAAAAAATATAATTATTATATCAGAATTTTCTGAAGTTCTGAATTGATGTAGTTTAATTAAATTAATGTTAAATCATAATTATATCTACTTTTCTTCTAAATAACCAAACTGCAAGATGCAACGTTGAATTGAGAAACGTCACAAATGCCGACAATTTTATGACAAATGACAATGATGAAATGACAATAGCAGTGCTGCCATCGTAAAAATCTAAGTTGCCGTATTTTAAGGATAAAATGATTTTATTTTAAAATTATTTATTTTAAAAATGTCTATTACTCATTTGTTTCTTCTCCGTATCGTTTCTATCGCTTCAAATTCATATTTATCGAGTGAGTATTCGTCCGTGCTTCTCAATTTTTTTACAAACTACCTACTTACTCTAAATATTACCATAAACTTGTCAGAATACATAGAACAAACTATGGAAAAAGGAGTAAACTCTACGAGGGAGCTCAATACTACAACAAATTACCTAAAAACATTAAAGAAGCAAAATCCCTGCCCACTTTTAAGAAATTACTAAAAAGCCACATTTTAAAGGATTTTTCATACTAATTTAATATTCACAAATCACTAATCTAAATATATGAAGTACATATACAACGTAAATTATAATATTTACCACAAAACAATTATATAGAAATAAATACACTATATTTACTTTTATACAATATGATTATACATGTGCGACAATAAAACTTATGTATATATATGTATGTATGTGTGTGTATGTGTATATGTGTGTATATGTATATATACATATACATACACATGTGTATATATATATATTTATATACAGTTACAGTTTTAGCGACCTATTATAATACTAACTCACTACGCCGATCGGTTTAATGTTTTTAATTAATAAGTATTTTCTCTGTAAGTGATTTGAAAATCTTTTGAGAAAGTAAATGTCTTAAACTATATTTTCATAATATTTGTTTTTAATTTTTTTTATAGGATTGGGTGACAAACGAGCACAAAGTCCACTTGATGGTACCTAAGTGGTTGCTGTGGCTCATAGACATCTACATCTATCCTCGTTTGCGAATCAAAATGCAGATGCGTTGTCAGCCGTGAGGACTAAGATGGAATACCTCTTTTCCAGTTAAAAGTTTCTCCGGTATCTCTATACACTCACCACACGAAACACAGCAGTGTTAAGCTGCTATTTTACGCTGGTATTCTGTGAGAGCGTGGTCCTTCCCAGGTCGAGCCGACCCATTCCTACTACAACTATACTAGTAATATAGCTGCAGCATGGCTCTACTACGTATATTGCTATACGTTATTTGTTGAGCCTTTTAGTTGAAAAGTAAATGTTAAACGTATTTAAAAAAATGCGAAGGTGTCAAAGCAGTTGGATCAGAAAGCACTGAACTAAGAGAGTATAACGACCGTGAATTAAGTAATGCCTCAATTTGCGTTAACACGGTGTCAATTTCCTCATTGGTAAGAACTTGTAGACGTATAACCTTAGTCAAATGTGATTGTACTTTCCCAGCATCCCCCAAAATGTGAAGCACTGAGTGGAATAAATTTCCAAGCAATCCTATTCTCAGCCAGATCTTTTATCCAATAAGAATAATATTCATCATTCAAAAAAGAGTATAACTCGTGAAGGTAGGATTTGGCACCAACGAAATTGGTTACATTGTCTGAGTAAAGGCATTGAACAGGACCTCTACGCGATAAAAATCTTTGAAGTGCAGCGAGGAAGCTTGCGGTACTTAAGTCTGTAGCATGTTCAATATGAATTGCGTGGGTTGTCAGACATGTAAAAGGCAAATATAAGTCTTGTGGGTCCACACTCCCCGTGTGCACCAAGGGGTGAATACAATAGGGCCCGAGTAGTCACAACCTGTATGCGAAAACGCTTTCAGTGACGGAGATACTCGAGGACCAGGAAGGTCAGCCATCATAGGATGAACTGGACGTGGGTTAGCTCTAAAGCAAAGGTTGCATTGAAAATTATTTGTCAAATGACACGCCTCACGGTTAAGATCCAGAATTTTGTCTCAGAAGCGCCATGAGTAAATGTGGACCTGTATAAAAATTTTTCTCATGATAATGTTTAATAATTAAATCGACTATATAGTCGCGTTTTGGCAATAACACCGGGTTCCTAGCGTTAAAATACAAATTGGAACAAGAACTACGGCCACCAACGCGAATAATGCCATCATGAGGGAAGGGACGTAAGGTCAATAATTTTTTAGAACATTGCTTATTAGCGGTTAAACTGTTGAGATCTTGCGGGAAATGAATATATTGTATGGAGCGCATTACTAAACTTTCAGCCGTTTCTAAATCAGAAGCTACAATAGCTCCTCGTTGTAATTTCTTGATAAATTTAAGTAAAAAGCAAACAGCCTTCAAATATTTATTCCAAGAGGAAAAGCGGTTAGCGAAACTATAAATAAAATTATAGGTAGCAGTAGTACTGCCTAGTGCGGGTTCATTTGAGTGGCCTTCATTATCGTAAAGAGTGGTAAGAAAAGCGAGTGGTTTAGATTCAGGAAGTTCCCTTGAATCCCGAGAGACAAAGGACGTGATAGTCAAATCACTACGTAGTAACTGTAGCCAATGCGATCCCTCTAACCATAGTGAATGGTGAACTAATTGTTTAGGAGTCAAGCCCCTTGTTAAACAGTGGGCAAGGTTCTCAGAGCGCCCAATGTGAAAGAAATGTTCAGCTGATAAGTTTTCATGAATGCTTGCGATCCGATTGGCAACATAAGTGTGCCAACGTTGCGATGAAGAGTGAATCCAACTTAAAGTCACAGTTGAATCTGAGAAGGCTACGATAAACTCTATAGGATATTTCAGCTTATAAATTTCAAAGATACGTCTTATAAGTTTCGATAAAAGTAGAGCTGCGCTTAATTCTAATCGCGCCAGCGAGACGACCTTCATAAGTGTGACCTTAGACTTTGCGCATACTATTCCGACCTTACAGTCACCGTTAGCCAATAGCACTCAGAGGTATACGACACCACCAAAAGCTCGCTCACAAGCATCAGGGAATCCGATAATGGAAACAGAACATTCTAAGATAACACCCAAATGTCGCGGAAAGTGTAGAGTTGCGATCAATGGTAGCTCTGACTTAAATTGTTCCCAGGAGCAAATGATGCGTTTAGGAGGTAGCTCGTCCCAATGACAGGAAATATGAGGACAGGACAAGACAGGATGGTGAGGAATATAATACGCGAATTCATTTGAGTCAGTGTTACTGACCGGTGATATGTAATTATTCTCAAGATACTCCTTGACCACGTTATCATATAACCTCTTAATATTTGGGTTAGACGCGAATTTGCGTTCGATGCTTAACAAATCCTGCGATGTGAAATGAGTCTCTAAGAGTGGAGACCTCAATTTTGCGAGGCAAGGCCACTTGTCACCTGCCTAATACGTTTCTGCTAACTGTGGAAGCATAAAACAGTACTGATCGTCGACACTATTGATAGGGGCGAATTCTATTTCTTCCATCTCCCAAAACTTGCGAAGATCCAAACATTCGTTGGAAGATGTGGTACAAAGGGACCAGGAGGTAGAGACCCGTTTATCAACTGCTGCCTCTCCTAAAACGATATATCCTAAAACCGTTTTTATCGCTTCAGGATTTCCTGGCCGCGAGAAAATTTTGTCAGGAAATAAAATGCGCGTGAATACATTAACGCCTAAAAGTATGTCAACATCTCCTGGAAGAGCCCAGAAAACGTCCACGAGCGAAACATTATTTAAGTGATGCATTTTTATGACATCTATTTGCAAGCGGAAGTTGATCAGTTATCTGGTCCAAAACTAAGGCTTATATTTTGTACTTAGGCTGCGGTCTAAGCCTTGAACAAAAACTGAGAGTAGTAGAGCCTCTCACTAATTGTGCGGTTCCACCTATACCCTTAACTGTACAGGTAGAATTAGTATTTATACGTAGTTCTAACTTGCGACAACAGCGTGTGGTTACATAATGTTTTTATGAACCCGGGTCAATAAGACATCGCACTATCACGTCTTTTCCTGCGCGGCCTGCTACCAACAATTTAGCAGTAGGCAAGATCTTGATCTTCAAAGAAGCCTCTAATGGTATTGAAGAGAGCATGCATAGCGACATATGTTCCTGTGAAGGTTCCGGTGTGTCAGCCGGACGATCTGTCGGATGATCTTCAGCAGAAGACTTGGAAAGCGTATTAACCCCAGGCTTAGGCGGCGAATTAATAAACTTATTGTTAAATTTACGATTAGTAAACTGCTCAAAATGAAGCAAGGTATGATGTCGCTGGCCGCAAATACGACTAGTTGACTTAGAATTACAATTTAAAGTAACATGTTATCTACTAAGACAATTACCACAAATTCTATTCGATCTTATATAGTTAAATCTTTTCGTCAGAGACATGTTTAAAAATTTGTTACAGTTATAAAGATGCGTATATGCATTGTGACATACTGAACAGTTGGAAGCGATTGCAATATATGCTCGTGGTGTGCGGGTTCGAGGCGGTGCTCGTGACGAAATATTGTTAGAAGCGGTGACAAGGTTGTCAGACTTATGCGAAGTGCGATGTAAAATTTTTATTTGCTCTCGGACAAATTGAATAAAATTATCATAATTCGGAATTTTATTTGTATCGCGAATAGATATTTCATAATTTTTTGCGGTGTCCGAATCTAATAATTTAAGGTCAATATGGACAAAAATGAAATCAGATAAGTCTTCGATCTTAAGACCTTTAAGACCAGCTATAAGCACAGCGTATTTATCTATGACCTGTTCTTAATTTGCGGAGCCTGAAGTAGAAGGCTTCAGGACTAATAACTGGTTTAAATAGCTTACAGCTCAAGCGCGTTTATCATGGTATATGAGATAAGAGC